ACAAAATAATGACAAGTAAAAAAGCAAAAATATGTAAAAAATAGTAAATAATTTGTATGACTCTGTTTCGTTAGCAATGAATCAACCCAAATGATGGTTGGACCATTGGTTGTCACCGCATGGTTGACAGTCAACGCGTTAAAAATGATTCCAGTGAACTATGCTTGGCAAGATGACCGAAGTAACAACCGGCGCCGACAGAAGCCATTCTCGGCCGTGGAATTAATTTGGCGGGCGATTAACAGAAACGATTTTCGTGCGCCTCCCGCGATGGAAACAGGTTTTAAGGGTATCTGGCGTGGGTTCGCGTAACCGAAGAGCTCCGCGAGCTCAAGTTTGCGCGGCCCAGGCTAGTACAAGTGGATCCAAGGCATGCAAGCCTCCCGCACCGGAAGTCAAAACGAACTTGCGTCCGGGTCCGGGCACGTCAGCCGATCTTTCCAGCCCTGAACCGCACGGGCGAAACTTCTCCTTTGCTTCAGCCCCCTCCCTGTTGCCACTCGTTTCGGCTTGTTCCCTTCGTTCATTCGTTCCACGTTCTCAGTTATCTGAGTAATACCTCTTCTGAGCTACTTCGCCGGGTTTTCATCGTCCCTTCTCTCTCTCTCTCTCTCTCTTTTTCTCTCTTCAATTCACCTGTATCCCCTTGCACTCCACGGGTTCGAACCTTCGGTAATGGAGCGCGGTATTTTTCTTCGACGTCGGTAATTACGGGCGTGCTCTCTCTCTCTCTCTCTCTCTCTCTCTCTCCCTCTCGCTCGCTCGCTCGCGAGTATATTTTATTTTGGGCCGATCGATTCGGACGCCGGTATCTGTCACCGGTGCCGGCCCGGCTGATTTTCTGTCATCGCGCGGATCCCTCCCGCCGGCCATTAGTCTTCCTTTCGATAAATGGAAGGGCTGATGCATCAACGAGGTGTCAGTTTCCCGTCCCCACCCGACCTTGTTGCGTTCGATTGATTTTTTTTCGAACGGAAAACGCCCCGGTCGCGCGATCGCTTATCCTCGAACGTGTTCTAATTTTCATAATTCCGGCTGTGTTCTGCGAAATCTAAACTTTTCTCTAGCTCGAACAGCAGAGAACAGGTTCGATCGAACGTTAACACTGGATTGCCGAGTCAATTTGACTCATTTACGATTTTATTGCTGTACATATATAAACTTAAATAATTTTTTTGGAACATATGTTGGTTTTTAATGGAATTGTGAAATGTATAAAACATACGTTCGAAAAAAAATAATTTATATAGAAATGAATATAAAATTTATTACTAGCAATTTATTATAGCAATAAATATACACTGATTGCTATATAAATAAATGTTTTAGTAATTAATATCAATATTTCTATTTTATAATTATTTATATTTATCAATATCTTTTATTTTTATTATTACATTAATACTTTTTATTACTTATTACTATTCATTATATACTATTATTATTATTATTTTTATATTATTTTATTATTATTATTATATTACTATTATTATATTATTATTATTATATTTATATATTATATACTATATTCATATAGCAATAAAATCGTAAATGAATGAAATTGTCTCGCACCGGCAATCTATCGTTAATTTAACGTCCTGATCCCGCTAAAAAAAACTCAACGATCACGTACACAAATCGTTCACGAACCCAGTCAATTGCGGAAAAGGTGTCCATCTGTTGGCGAACGGCGCGTGTAACCGGTACCGTTCGATTAATTTCGTCGCGAAGAAGACGTGCTGGACGAGCGATCCGCGTCCGATTTCTCATCGGCTCGAACTGCGCTCAAGTGGCAATGGATTCTCGATTTTTCCCGGTCTTCGTGACCGCCCCCCACCCCCCACCCGGAGCACGGCTAATTAATTATTAATTTTGCAGGGCGGCGTAGGTCGGAGGTCGCGTTTAATCTTGCGAAGTAGTATCATTTGTAAGAGCAATCTAGATCACCGATGGGCCGACGGTATCCGAGAGAAAATCGGAAACCGATGAGAGAGCCCCGTGCACGCGGCCGAGGAGCAGGGTGCGCGGGGGAGAAAGAGATTACGCGGCGACCCGTGCGTCGGACAGCCCGTAGATTTTCATTTTTTAATTAATACGCCTCGCACAATGGCACAGGCACAAGGAAAAGGTCGATAAGGCCGGCTAACGAGCTGCCAACGTCTAATCCAACTTCGCCTCGAAAACTGTCGGGGCTCTTGCAGGACGTGTAATGAGTTCTGGACGCCTCGACCAAGAAAAATCTCGATATTAATAGCTTTTGCCTTTGAGTCGTTGGAAAACGCGCGTTGGCCCGCTGCCCCGAGGGGAGGAGAAGCACGAGCATTGTCGATGGAACAGCGAATTTTATTGTCGCGTTCGCGGGACAATTTTACAGCGAGCCCCGCTGCTCGACGACGCTATATCGCTCTATGCAGTAGAGCAATATGCAGCGCGTCGTTCGCGACGTTTACACGCTGAGAATCACCACGTGTGTGTGTATACGTAGCCCCGCGGAATCAAAGCGAGGCAGCAGTTTATCCTGCGTAATTATCCCTTCGAACGTTTTCGAGATGCCACGTGTCTTAATAAAATTCAATTCGCGCGGCCACCATCCCTGGCAAACTCTCCTCTTCACCGCGCGCAATAAACCACCCCCTGGCGAAAGGTGTTCGAGCATCCTTTTTTAAAACGCAGTAACGTTCTTAACGCTGCGGCTTTACTGCGTGAAACGCAGCTTTTAAATTTTCGTTATAGACCCGGCAAAAAATATAACTTGAGGGAACGTAATTTTTGTAATTTTCCTTCCCGTCCGAGTAACGGCGAAACTAGGGAAGAAGAATTATGGCAATTGTGTACGGGGTACTCTTTAACGTTAAAAAGAAGATTCGAGTTATTTGGACTAGTTTTGAAAAAGATATTGCGATTTAGGAGCCGTTAAGAATATTCTTTGGTTTATCGTAATTTTTTTAATTTTCCTTTCCGTCCGAGTAATAGCGAAACTAAGGAAGAAGAATTATGGCAATTGTGTTCGGTCTATTCTTTAATGTTAAAAAGAAGATTCGAGTTATTTGGTCTAGTTTTTAATAAGTTATTGTGATTTAGGAGCCGTTAAGAATATTCTTTGGTTTATCGTAATTTTTTAAATTTTTCTTTCCGTCCGAGTAACGGCGAAACTAGGGAAAAAGAATTATGGCAATTGTACGGGGTAATCTCTAACGTTAAAAAGAAGATTCGATTTATTTGGTCTAGTTTTTAATAAGTTATTGCGATTTAGGAGCCGCGCGTTCGAATATTCTATTGTGGTTTATTGTACATGCTGAAGAAAAAAGTTCCTGTCGCTGATCAAATTTCATCGTGAAACTGTGCGCATAGCATCGTATTCGTCAGAATTAAGCTTCTCTGTGCTAACTGATGATAAAAGCAATAAAATTCTTAAAATAAGGAATTCCTGAAATAACGGTTAAATCATTAAATTAAATTTCCTGGAATAATGGTTATATCGTTCGAAAAACGCGATAGAAGTCGAAGCTTTTCGGCTGCCTCTTCGAACATTGATCGTGCTGGATCCCTTCTATTGATTAAAAGGGCACGAACTGTCCTCGATCGATCTTTAACGCTAGATTTACGGAAACTTAATCGTAGATTTTTTAATCTACGATTATTCATATCGTAAAGATACATTTATGAGTTGAGATACATTTATTCAATTTACATGTTACAGCGAATGTTACAACAACGCTTGTTAAAAATCAGAATAAATGTCTCATTGTTACTTTTACGAACTAAACACAAAACAGCTCTTTTTCGTGCTCCGTAAATCTAGCGTTAACGAGTAGACATTTAGATATCTGTGCAAGATATAAATTCTCTTCGTTAATTACAAGTTGTAGAAACTACGCAGACATTTATTTCTTCTCTTAGCCGATCTAACGAATCGACAGTGATACAACAATATCTTGAAATTGTATAATTGTTTCAGCTATTTTGCATTCGATCCATTAATTTCTTCACAAATGTATAAAATCCACAGTCTCTTAACGAGCACTCGTCATTTCCCGGCTTCCCGTTCGCACGATCTGTTCTTATTTTATCTAAAAATCACTCCTTTACTGTTTTTAAATGCAAAAAACGACGTTACGCAGCTCGCACGAAGAACGTCTTTCTTAAAAGGGAAAAGACCATCGCGATCGCTCGATAAACCGCACATTGCACATTCAGCCCGACGATCCGCGGGGTAATATTTCATCGAAACGATTCAAGTAGCCGAACCGATTCGACGGCGAGGCGTACGCGCGACGAGAAGAGCGAGCCACGTGTCGAGAGCCGTCGACTCATTTCGACGATACCTCCGCGGGGCGCTAGTTAGGCCGGCCAATCTTCATTCATTATTTAGCCTATCGGGCGTAGGTTGGGCGCGGGCACCGAGTCTCTTTGATGTCTGGCGGCAGCCGCCGATTATTGAATCAATTATTGAACGGCACTCTCTTTCGCCGCGCGTCTCTTTTTCGCCCTTCAATCTCGCTCGCGTCGGAACCAGCCCTCCCGTCCCCTCCCCATCCCCATCGGCCAGCCGTTCCGCAGCGGCTGTCTTCGTCGTGCCAGCGACGGGGAGAAGATTTATTCCGTACAGGAAGAAATTGCTCGTTGGTACGGTCACGGAGAACCGATTCCGCGAGAGGTCAGCCGAGTCCAGGTTAAGGTCCACCCGCGTGTATAAGGCTGCCGCTATTATCGTCGTATAATGTACGCCAATTACCCCCGAGGAGGAAGAGCGGCATCGCGGAAATGGGGGCCTAACCGTCGGTACGTGCTCATTTCCCCCCGCCGCACCCCCCTGATGGCCGACCGAGGCCGGACCGTAACGACAAAACCGTGGCCAGGTCTTTCGGTCGAAAAACGCTCGATACGCGGAGTAAGACGCGGTAATCGCCGCGAGGATCCGCGATCTATGACTCCTAGGGATCTCGAATACGTAACGGAGGGTGGTCCGGGGAGAGCGGGGGGATCCAGCGTGGTCGGTGTTTAAAATCAATGAACTTTATTTCCATAAAACATCTCCGTTCGTATAAAAGGTACTAGCGGTAACGTGCGCGCGCGGATCGCACGATGATACGCGCGATAATACTTCCACCTCCTGTCGGCCTCGCGCTCAACACTGGCTCTTGTTCTTCTTGCTCTCCTTGATGGAGATCACGTAACGCTGGGCGACGTTCAACGGCGGCGAGAACCCGTCCGAGTAGGTCGCGTCTTCGAAGAGGACCTCGTACTCCTCCGTGGCGGTGGTCGGCAGCTGGTTCACCACCGCCTTGTAGAAGCAGGTCGTCTGAGGGTACAGCGCCATCACGATCGACCCTTTCGGGAAGAGGGCGTGGGGATCGGTCTCCGGGTTGGCCCTCATCAACGGCAACGGCACCACTCTTCGCCTGGACAGCGTGTGCCTGTCCTTCTGCTCCTCGTCGATGTCGTCCACCTCGTACTTGTTCGTCGTCGGATTGAACTGCACCACCTCCGCCAGAATCCAGTTCTCCTCTTCTTCGGAGCCCTTCACCAGAGCCGCGACCATGTCGCCCATCTTCGCGATGTACGTCAGCTCCGCGGGAACCGCGCCGCATAGGGGCGGCGGTTTCGCCCCCGGTGTCTTCCCCACGTAGAGCGGCAGGGTCTGCGCCGTGCTCGAGAGCATCTTCATCAGCGCGCCCCGTCTGATCGTTTCTTTATTGCCGGCGTTGCGGGCCTGTATGCGACGCTCGTTCCTGATCGCGCGGATTTCGTTGATCTTCCCCAAAGCCTTCCGCAGGATCTCCTCCTCCTGCTGGGCGTCCCCTACCGCCGCGCTGTACAGGTTCTTCAGCTTCTGCTGGTAGTAGGGGGACACCTTGTCCTCCGGCGTCACCTTGTCGTAGGTCTTGATGATGTTGTTCAAATTGTGCTCCGACCGGACACGCTGCGACTCGATCTCGTGCACCAGGTGGTACAGGTTCTTCAGCCTCTCCTGGATCTGGCTAGCCGCCGCGTCCGCCGTGAACGGCATACTGAAGTCGATTCGGATGCTTACTGGTCCAGATGGATGATAGACTTCTTTGCTCTATGGTCTCATCTCTTCGCCTTGTCTCCGGGTATATTGTTTCTATGGATGGAGACAATATATAGAAATATATTACAGATATATAGATATATATTATAGATATATAGATATATTATAGATATATAGATAAATTATAGATATATAGATATATATTATATAGATATATAGATATTATATAAAAATATACAGATATATATTATAAATATATAGATATTATAAATATACAGATATATATTATATAGATATATAGATATATATTATAGATATATAGAGATATATTATATAGATATATAAATATTATATATATCTTTTAGATACATGGGTTCCTTGGTTAGTGTTCTATGTCTAGGTCCAGAATCGGGATTCGCGGTGCAGGGATTAAGTGGACGGAGCATATTCTTTATTCGGAGTCTTCAGCATATATATTCGATCGTTAATCTCTCGAGCTAGAAATTTATACCTGCCTGTGACGAATCGTTTTAGAATTGTTGTTCACCGGGATTAGTGCGATAAAAAGTCTCTGTTAGCAATAGTGTTCGGTACGATTAATTTGGACTCGATACAACGTGTGCAATGCGACGAGACGTTTTTTATATTATAGCTAGTTTCATTGTTTGTTTATTTTCTTGTCCCCGAGCAAAGGGGACGCGTGTAGTACGTCGTTCCAGCGCGAGAGGTCGATGAATCGGATTCGAGTTTGCCCGAACGTGGAATTCTCCTCAATTGCTGTCCAATTTGTAATCAAAAATGGAGAATTTTGGTAGAGGAGATGCAACTATTCCAGCCTTGCACGGCTCGTTTTTATAGTTGTTGACAATCTGCAACCATATGGGGCATCTTCTTTGCTATGGGGACCCCCCATTTTTGTTTATAAACTGAAAGGCAAATCGGGAGAATTTACTGTATTTTGGAAGAAGTAGACCAGGGATGTCAAACTTGCGGCCCGGGATGAACATTTTTGCGGCCCAGTCAATATATCCGACGCAAAGTAAAAATAAAATAGAAATGTGAATTAGAAATTTTGAAAGTAGTCTCGGCCAATAAGATTTCTCCCGAAATAGGAAAGATAGTATCAGAGAAGAGATGTCAAGTATCAGGACGTAAACAATAATTTAACTTTATATGTGTGTTTATTACAATGTACTAGTCAAAATAAAAATATTTCTTTCTATGAACATTGATTTTTTTTTGCGGCCCACCTGAAGTTAAGNAGATATATATTATAGATATATAGAGATATATTATATAGATATATAAATATTATATATATCTTTTAGATACATGGGTTCCTTGGTTAGTGTTCTATGTCTAGGTCCAGAATCGGGATTCGCGGTGCAGGGATTAAGTGGACGGAGCATATTCTTTATTCGGAGTCTTCAGCATATATATTCGATCGTTAATCTCTCGAGCTAGAAATTTATACCTGCCTGTGACGAATCGTTTTAGAATTGTTGTTCACCGGGATTAGTGCGATAAAAAGTCTCTGTTAGCAATAGTGTTCGGTACGATTAATTTGGACTCGATACAACGTGTGCAATGCGACGAGACGTTTTTTATATTATAGCTAGTTTCATTGTTTGTTTATTTTCTTGTCCCCGAGCAAAGGGGACGCGTGTAGTACGTCGTTCCAGCGCGAGAGGTCGATGAATCGGATTCGAGTTTGCCCGAACGTGGAATTCTCCTCAATTGCTGTCCAATTTGTAATCAAAAATGGAGAATTTTGGTAGAGGAGATGCAACTATTCCAGCCTTGCACGGCTCGTTTTTATAGTTGTTGACAATCTGCAACCATATGGGGCATCTTCTTTGCTATGGGGACCCCCCATTTTTGTTTATAAACTGAAAGGCAAATCGGGAGAATTTACTGTATTTTGGAAGAAGTAGACCAGGGATGTCAAACTTGCGGCCCGGGATGAACATTTTTGCGGCCCAGTCAATATATCCGACGCAAAGTAAAAATAAAATAGAAATGTGAATTAGAAATTTTGAAAGTAGTCTCGGCCAATAAGATTTCTCCCGAAATAGGAAAGATAGTATCAGAGAAGAGATGTCAAGTATCAGGACGTAAACAATAATTTAACTTTATATGTGTGTTTATTACAATGTACTAGTCAAAATAAAAATATTTCTTTCTATGAACATTGATTTTTTTTTGCGGCCCACCTGAAGTTAAGCATTGTTTATTTGGCCCAAGTTAGCTTTTGAGTTTGACACCCCTGAAGTAGACTGTTGACAGAAAAGTGGAAAATAAAAGTTTCTGATCGACGTTGCGTTTTTTAAAGCTGAAACGAGGTTCTGCGTTACCACGTTGAAATGAATAGGCCGTCCTTGGTGTATTCTATGCATACACGTGTATCCTAAATATGCGATAGAAGCACGTTTATGCTAGCGGATCATATAACCGAGGGGGTTCAGGTAACAGAGTCCGCTTCCATTGCCTTTCCACCGTCATTTTCTTTCGGTTCAGGTAATAGACCTTTGTTCGGTTAATCGAGGTCCATTGCTATTCCCATCATTCGTATCGTTCGGTTAATAGAAACGTTTGCGAACGGTGGTCAATTTGTTCGCGCATCTTCTGTTCGGTACAAGTTTCTTGCATAATAATACTTGAGAGCAAAACATATCAGCAGTCCACGTAAAACACGCGTTCGTGTAACCGAGAGTACGCTCGAACTCGGTTATATATATATTATAAATAATAATAATTCACTTGAGAGTTCAAATAACAGAGATCAGGGTTCTCAAATCGTTTACATAATAGATAAACGACGGATAAACGACGTTCTATCGTACTTCGTTCATGATAAAAAAAAAAGAAAAGGGTAGCCTAAAAAACAGGATGGAGGTATAAAGTTTCTCAAAATTCCAGCCGACCTAATATGCAATTATTTGTTTACATGACATTACATTCACTGTAATAATTGCATCGCTGAAATAATTTTAAGTGCATTGTCCGTAGATCATAAATTAAGATTCAGATTTATTTGAATACTTGAACAATTCTATGTTCAATTATTCATAAAGCTGCGCGCGCGCGACCACAGAGGAAATGGGTATCCAAAAAAAAAAGTAAAAAAAAAATGGTCGACTAGCGTCGGTGATTCGAACTTGGGACCGGCACGTCTCTAATACCTGAACGTAGCGCGCGACGCCATTAGCATCTGTTCCGGGATCCTGTTCTAACTTCAGTGATGTGCAGCCTCTCACGGATGAAATCCGTGTTACAATATCGTCGTTGATCGTTTTTATATATCCCTAAATAAAGTTTACACGCGATCACAGGCAAGAACAACAAAAAAATAACCGACGATCTCCAGCGCGGCTAAGTGGCACGAAACCGGTTCGGAAACGAGGCTCTCGAATCAATAAAATCATGCTCCCGGTAAGAGGCGTATCAAAGTGCATCGGAAACGGAACATACCTCATTCTGTACAAACGAAATCGGGGCCGCGATACGTCTCGACGATGACCATCCGATACTCACCTTTCTAACACGAAGTTACAGGCGGCACTAAACCATCTCTCAACGTCTTGCAATCGACTGTGCACGCGATTCTGCGCCATACTGCTGCGCCCCCCACTTATGTGTCACGAACCAGGCTGCGTCAAGGCGGTGCTGCCGCTTGCCGGCAAACGCTTCAACTAACCTCGCTGCAATAGTTTTGTCCGTCGCAGTGCATGTCCCTCGATCCTTCAAATATTAACGGGCAAACTCGATGGCAAGGTTTTATAAATATTTCCAATTCTTACACCTTGAACTAAGCTCGATTATAATTACTGGACAGCGAGACTTAATGGAAAATAAAGATTTTCTGCATCGATTGCGAGGAATAAGCGACAAATAGAAATTTCCTTCTTTCTTCAACGATTTTAATACGTTGAAACGAATGTATTGACGCTCTTTATGTATTTCTCTTAGTTTCTTTGTTACTTTAAATTGTGATTACACATTTTTATAATAACTGCGTACAATCTTATGCGTATAATGATTATATTGAACTGTGTTAATTCATATTGACTGATTTATATTAAGTTATATTAAACTGAGAAGCTGAATTAATAGAGATTGTCTACTTTGGGATATTTTAAACTATATTATAAAATATAATAAATAATATAATATAATAAAAATAATATAATAATAATAATAATATAATAATAAATAATATAATAAAATATAATAAAATATATATATTTTAATTTCAATTTAATCTTCTCCATTTTTATATCACCGAATAAAATTGCTTTCCGTGTTCCATAAATTTTATATCCCTCCACTTTAAACTTCAGAAGTTCATCGTTGCATTTTAAATGCAAGGTAATATAAAACTGTCCGCTTTGGGATTTTTTTAAAAAAACGAGAGTCATTATAAATGGAAAATCTTTCAATTCTCTGCGACGCTCAATTCATTTAAGCTTTTAACACATTTCGAGCATATTTTCGCGTCGCAACAGTGAATTCCTACAGAATTTGCAACGATTATTAATAGAAAATAACAAATTCCTGCTGGAGAAAGAAAATTTACATTTATTTTATGCAATCTTTCACGATTTAAACATGGACGCGATTCGATTCCGATACCGTACAATCAACAATTGTATCAAACGTAAAAAAAGACAATAAAAATCCCGTACAAAACGTAGTAAACGAGAACTCTCGTAGCACGGGAACAACAGTCGCGAGAAGGTTGTCACGCCGACGCGACGGGCGCCAAAAAAGCGCGAAGACGAAACCTAACAATGCCGCGTCTCTTTGAAGTCGAAACTCCGGCCGAGAAATTGCAATATTTTTGCATATTTCACGTAGACCCGCTTTGAGACCGTTCTATCCCGCCGTCTACTTTCCACAGAGGGTTCCATTTCGAGAGAGAGAGAAAGAGAGGGAGAGAGAGAGAGAGAGAGAGAGAGAGAGAGAGAGAGCAAAGTGCGAGTTCTTTGACGGCGTCGAATGATAAGTTGCTGCAATAATCTGCTCAAAGTTCGCGCTGCCGAGGAACGCTTTAAACGTCGCCTGAAAGGAACGGGAGAAAGAAAAAACGTATTACCGCTCGTCTCCGTGTAACTTGCGTTTACGTCGAATTTTCGGCGAGTTTCGTCGAGCTGTCGCGCGAGCGTTTCGCTTCCGAAAATTCGGCGAACGATACACGGTTTACGATCAACCCTTTCGGTACGAGCGCCGGATACATCCGGCATCCATCTGATGACCAATATGGACGAGTGCCGAATACACCTGGCATCTATGTAAGCCATATTTCTGACATATTAGAAACTATTCTAATAACCGTTTGAGTCCCAAGCAGCGCTATATCATGCTGTTCGGCATTTTTCGACCGTGTTTTCTGAATAATCCCTGTTGGACTCAAACGGATAAAGTCTTTTCTTACAAGGATTCCGAAAAAAGAAACAGCTACAGGTATAATTGTCGTTTGATCTGAATTGATTTAACCCCTTGCACTATGATTTCTTTTGCAGCTGCCTTGATCAGCTGTTCTTTGTCCTCAATCATTACCCTGATAGAACGAGACAATTTTTGTACTTTGCATGTCTTCGTTTACTTTGGATCCTAGATTTTAATAACAGAACAATCAAATTTTATTTTCATTCAGAAGAGACAAAGAATGTTTGCATTTAATAGATTGTGTATAAAATCTTCATTACGAGTCTGACTCGTTGTTATAGTGCAAAGGGTTAAAAAATTTCACGTTACATTTCTGTTCGAAACTTGTTCGTAGATTTGAACATATTGTAGGTCCTTTACAGAATGTTTACAGGAAACAAAAGATTTAGAAACGGATTAGCCTGTTAGGCACGACGTGCCACTATAGTGGCTTCCGCGGATGTCATCTCCCTGAACGACGCGCCACTATAGTGGCTTACTCTAGTGGCTCACTCGGTCATCGTTTGAATTAAATAATCGTCTTCATATGCATTGTTTCACACTTCTTTTGTCTTCACATCGATTTACAATATACACAGACAGAATATACAAACACTGTAATTTATTATATTATAATATATTATATATATATATTTTTATATATTATTATTTATATATATATATATATATATATATAAATATAATAATATAATAATAAATTATAATAAAAATAAATATAATATATATATATATATATATATTATATATAATATATTATAATTTATTTTATTATACTATACAGACACAGTACATATCAGACTCTGCCGTCCAGAGAAATAGCCTTGCGCAGAATTCAGCCGTACCTAAAAGGTCAAGCACAGTGTATTACTTAACGCTTACGAAAATCTTTTCGTACAAAAGCGCAATCTTCGTACAAACCCTGTGCTATGCGCGCATTTTCGACGCAGCACCCTGTACAGTGGCCGCTGTCACGGCGGACAGCGCGCTCGTACCGAAAGGGTTAACGAAACATTCTCGTCGCTCGGACAGGGGGGCGAGCGCGATCCCAGCTCTCGAGATGAAAATAAAATAACGACGGCCCCGGCCGCTTTGGTTCGGCCGACCATGGTAATGAACGGAATCACGATTGGACGGCGGGGTCGAAGGCAACGGAGCGCTGGCGCGTTGCGCGGAGCAGCGCGGAGCGGCGATGTCGATAGCCGGCGCGAAGAATAATCAATTCGTTGGTAAATTACACGGCACGGACACCCGTGGTTGCGGCGACTCGTATAAATCACCGAGCGCGGAAAAGCTCTCTATCGTTCTTGTTAGGTGCCGGATGATGTACCGCCTCACCTCGAGTCCGATCGTACATCAGAGGCGCCGTGCATCATCGCCTAACAGCCGAGCGGCCCTGCATCCCGCTGCATCGCCGTGCATCGGCCGCGGCGCAAACGCGCAAACGGCACCGATAGCCGACGCGAAATGCCGTAACGCGACCCGCCGCGGCCAGCATCCCGCTCGAGGAGGAGGAGGAGGAGGAGGAGGAACGAAGAGAGAATCATCCGCGGACGCGGCGAAGCATCGCCGGGACGGCTGCGTTCCACCGTGCACGCACCATAAACGTACATAAGCGCGAACCGGGCCCCGGGTTCTTGCGAGCTCTCTGACCTATTCGCAATGAGATGCGTGTCACGCGTGCCACCGGCGCGTACGTGGCCGTCGCGCGCGCGCGAGCGAGCGAGCACGGAATCGCTGGCGATTCAACCTGTTCGCCGGTTCCCATGCGGGGCCGCGGCAACCCCGAACAATGCGCGCGGTTTCGATATGCACGGATCGCCGGGATTCTTATTTCAGGAAAGTTCAGCTTTCCGCCAGGAATTCAACGGCGCGGCGGGTTCGTTGCACTGGCCGCTAAATCGTCTCTGTACCACCGTGGGCATAGGGAATGCATTTCGGACGACCGGATCGGTTCGTCGACGTGACGGAGCTTCGTGTTAACGTTTGGTGATTTGGTGGAACAGCGATCCGTGGACAGAAGTCAATTCTGCGATTTTTGTATTTGAGATTGTTTTTTTTCCAGGGTTTGGAATCTGAAGTATTCGTTTATTCGGACGGTTTTGTAACGAGATGTATGTATTATAATGTTAGGAAGATCATGAAAATAGGATTGAAATTGAGTAGTGAAAATTTAAGGGAATTAATCTTTTTAATTTTTATTATTGTAGAGTATCAATATATGAGATTTTATTATGATAGTATTAGGATAGTATTAGGATATTTTATGACAGAAATATATAATGTCATTGAGAGACCCGTTGTTCGATGGCGAACGGAACGACGCAACAAGACCGACTCGGATCAATAAACGCGCCTTGGAAATCGCACACAACGAGGTACGAATCAGTCATTTAGCCGTAGCGAATGGCGCGTAAATGTAGAAAAATACGCGGCAACGGTTTCCATTGCATTAAAATAGGACGATTGTGCGGCGCGGTGCCGGGTTTTATTTAGCAACGATCCCTGCAACGCCTGCTGCCCCGTTGGTCGATACGCGCGTACTCCAGATGAATATCGCGAGCAGGCAGACAGACCGGCGATGTGAATGGCATTGTATACGCGCTTCTACCCCGGGGCCCGACATCTCCTTACGCCTCGTTAGACGCCTTGTTTCGCGCCTCGAAAACGCGCGTACGAGTATATACGTAATATCGGGGATTGTGACTGCGCTAAGCTCGTCGCCTTCCATAATACGTTTTAATGGCCCATTCTGGACCCCGGCTGCCAGCGCTGCCGCGCGAAAAGGATTTGATTTTCGCAGCGACGCACCGCGCCGCGGGTGCGGCGTCCCGCGAACCGCACTTCAACCGCCGAAAACGAGCCACGAGAATTTTCGATGAAGCGATCTCTCCAGAGAATCGCATCCCCCCTCCACTCTGCGTCGCCGCGATCCATGTTATTAACGTGGCCGATAAAATCAGTTCTTTCCCGTAAAACATGCAACGGGCGAAGATATTAA